AAATGTTGGTAAAAATGGCAAAACTAATGGAGCTAATTCATTTTTAGATAGATTCATTTAATTAATTTTTTAAAAAAAACATCAGTTTCATACTCACCTTTCAGGTTCCCAGATCCAATAGCAATCCGTTAGACATATTAAGAAATCAATAATAATCAAACTTTATATTTTTACTTACTTACCGGTATCTCTAAGGGTCTATAGGAGTTTCCACTACTTGTAGACCCAATATCTAATCTATTAATTAACCGGTCGTCCTCATACCTTATCCGGTAATGGGTGTCAAACGTACCACCGCCGTAATATCTCATCCGGCATGAGGGTGAACAAATACTTCTCAACCCTTTCCGGTATGAAACTTCTCAGTCTCGTATGATTGAGGTAACGTGTAAAGACCCAAAACTTTAAAGAAAAGAATATATATTGAAATATACATAAATAAATAATAATTTAAGGTTTATATTTCTTACACAGTAAATTAGGATGCCTAATAGGGTTACGAAATTGTCCCTTTTAAAAAAACTAAAGCAATATAAACAGAAATGAAACTAAAATCCTATGGGGTTAAAGCCCACTGGCAACTTTGATGGGGTCTGGGAGGTAATCTTTACTCGCAACCCTCATTCTGTTCAGGATCTAGATCTTGGTTTTCTTGATATGAAATGGTTAAATAAGGGGATGGGTTACATTACCCCAGTAAGAATATCACACTAATAACAAATACGAAAAACTGAAGGTTGATAAAAATTATAAAACAAGTAATAGAGTCATTAGTTTATGTAAATTCATTTAACATAAAACCTTCCATTCCATACTTGCCATTATAAGTTTCCAAAATCGACCTATGAAGACAATAACTCAAATAATATTGTGATTTCATATCTAGGGAGCAAGAATAACAACTTACCTTTTTACCTGTTCACCGGTACCTCTGGGGTTCCATAAGAATGTCTCCCTACGCATGAACCCAATAACTAAATTTATCTATTAACCAACCGTCCTCATACCCTGTCCAGTAATGGACGTCAAACATACTATCGCCTTGATATCTCGTCCGGTATGAGAGTAAATTATATCTCCCAAACCTTTCTGGTATGAGACTTATTAGCCATGTCCGACTGAGGTAATGTACACGGTAGGATTTTTTTCTATATACCAGGTCCGTCCACCCTTTTTTAGGGTACCTAGTAAGCCTCTCATACATAGATTCACACCATTAATCAATCACCCATTAAATATCAACATTCCATATTGATAAATCAGCAATAAGTCATACAAAGAGATGGTACATAAATCAAGAAAACATAATTAGAACATTTATTACCAAAACAAACTAACAAATGAGGGCTATGCAGTTAAGTAAACTAAATAACTGAGAAAACAATTAAAATTAGCAATTTAACGCACACAATATAATGGTAAGTATTTTAGGCAGTATAGGAGAAAATAAGCAATAAACTAGAGTAAATATACACTGATCGGTTCTAGCTCCACTAGTGACCTGTAATTAATTTAACATTAATTTTTACAAACACAGCATTATTGATTATTGAAATTTAATTTACCATAACAGAAAAAAAGGTGAGGGATTCTTATTCGGATCGGTGTTTGAAGTACTATATTTTTTACTGTGCCTTCTAGTGATCCCCGGATTTTCAAAATTTTTTATGCAAAAATTCAAACACTTGTCACATATCCAAAAATACCTCAAAAGACCAAAATAGGCATTTTAAAACATTTATGGCCAATTTTAGGATTCTGACACGGTGGCATCGCCGTGTTACGGCATCGGCTCTACTGTCCATGGTGGCAGTTCGTCTCGGTCTGGTCAATTTAAGTCGATTTTGTACGTAAACCTGCCAAAACCAAGTTAGGAGGCCTCAATTGGTCCAACAATATAAAAAATCGAAATCCTACCGGTGCAAGGTCTCCGGGTGCGGCAGCTTCGCTAGTCCTCCTTCACGGCCAAAGTTCCATTTTGGCTAACCTACACCAAAAAAAGACGAAGAACACAATGATAAAAAAATCACATGAAAAGGAAAACATGGAGGAGTTCATTGGAGAGGGTTTTGGGTTTTTGGCTGCGGCAGCTCGGTTGGGCTTTGCCCATAGTTTCCAACTCTTCCGTTGGCCCTTTGGGTCTGATATGGCCATAAGGAGACTCGAGATTGAATTTCGAGCGAAAAAAAAAATTACCTCTCTTAACGGGCGGTGGTGGCTCGGATACTGCAGTGATGACATCCCTACAACAGCTGGCCTTCCCTTCGACCGCCCTCCTTCTTCTTCTTCTCTAATTGGGTGTCGGCTGGGGTTTCAGGGCCGACTGAAAAGAGGTTTAAATACCTCTATTTTCTCTAATCCTGGTCGTTTATCCGTGTCGATATGGAGCGTAGAGAGTCGTCTGATCGTTGCTTGTTTAGCTCGATTGCATAAGCAAATATGAATTGTCCATTACGATCAATCTCATCCATCTTATCATGTCTGAAGAGGGAATGTATCTGGGCCCTTCGTGCATGCGAGATACGATCTGGGCCATCAAATTGCCTAGGCAAGCGGATTGCCTACGTGGCCTCCTGCGTGAAGACGATGTCAGCGTGTACGCCATGCAGCACGTTTCGACTCGTCGTGGCTGCTGACCGAACTGTCCCACATGGCAAAACTTTTCCATTTTGTAAGTTTACCCCTTGTTTTAAAATTTTCTTTCAAAAACACCACTTGTTCACAATTTCATTATTTTTTTCCAGAATTGTTTTCAATTTCATCATTAATTCATTTTTCTCAAAAGTTTAAGAAAAATTAAATTAAATTAAAGATTTAACTATTTATATATATATTTTTATAAATTAAAAAATTATCCCGGGCCAAATTTTCAGGCATGAGTGTTACATAACGTACATGTAAGGTTGTCCTATGCACCGGGTCCATACACCCTTTTCCATGACACCAGGTAAGCCTTTTACATACATATCCTCATCATCAACCAGCCATCCATTATGTACAACAATCTTATTTCATAATTTTAGAACAATAGAACAACAATTAAGCAGACAATACAATTTAATACTTTAATAACTAAGAGAGGCATAGTCAGGATATTTATTTTCAACCAGTTAACAGATAGGGGTAAAGTTAGTAGATAAACTAATAAACCAAAAAAACAATTAAAATCAATAAATTAACGCACATGATATAATAGTAAGCAATTTATGCAGTATATGAATAAATAGATAACACATATAAACTATACACTAATAAGTTACTAGCTCCATCGGTGATCTATATTTAATTAATAAAAGATTATCAATATTTATAAATTTCACCATTTAATTATTATTTAAACTTTAATTAACCGTAATGGGAGAAAGGATAAGGGATTCTTACTCCGGATCGACGTTCGAAATACCGTCTTTTTCACTGCACTTCCCAGCAGTTCCTGGATTTCTTGAGTTTTTTTTTGTAAAAATCGAAAACACGCGTCACATATCCTAAAATATCCAAAAAAGCTAAAAATAAGGATTTTAAAATTTTTTGGGCCGGTTTAGGATTTTGGCATGACGCTGCC